AGATTGGGGGCACCTACCCCACCTCACCCGCAGTTGAAAATCCACATATAACTTCTGATCTCCAAAAATCTTAACTATTAATAGCTTGCTATTGACCCGAAGCCTTACTGGTACCCTAACAGCCAGTTAACACTTTGTATGCCACAAGTATTATATATTGTTTTTGCTAAGTGCTATTGAGTCAGTTCCAAGTCATAGCATAAAAGGGCGTGACCCTGCTGGGGCTGTGCCATCCTCACAAGTGTTATGTTTCAGCCCATCGTTGTCACCATTGTATCAGTCCATCTTGTTGGGGTCTTCCTCTTTCTCACTGACCCTCCATGTTTCCAAGTACGGTGGTCCTTCTTAAGGCACTGGTCCCTACTGATAATATGTCTAAAGTCTTGCCATCCTGGCTTCTAAAGAGCATTCTGGCTGTACGTCTTCCAAGATAGATTTGGTTCTTCTAGTACTTTCAGTATTCTTTGCCAATACCATAATATAAATGCATCGATTCTTCTCTGGTCTCTCTTATTCACAATACAATTTTCATGTGTATATGAAGTTACTGAAAATACCGTGGCTTGGGTCAGGCACAACTTAGTCTTCAAACTGACATCTTTGCTCTTGAACACTTTAAAGAGCACTTTTGCAGCAGATTTGCCTAATACAGTTAAGTCTTTTGATTTCTTGACTGATGCTTCCATGAGCATTGATTGTGGGTCCAAGCAAAATGAAGACTTTGACAACTTTAATCTTTTCTCCATTTATCATGATGCTATTTAATGGTCCATTTGTGAGGACTGTTGTTTTCTTTACATTAAATTGCAATCTATACTGAAGATTGTAGTCTTTGATGTTTATCGCTAAGTATTTCAAGACTGGTTTGCTTTCAGCAAGCAAAGTTGTATCATGTGCATATCTCAGGTTGTTAATAAGTCTTCCTCTAATACTGATGCTGTGATCGTCTTTCTATAATCCATCTTCTCAGATTATTTGCTCAGAATACAGATTGAATAAGTATGGTGAAAGGATACAACCATGACCCACATCTTTCCTGATTTTAACCCATTCAATGTCCCCTTATTCTGTTTGAATGATTGCCTCTTGGTCTATGTAAAGTTTTCTTGTTAGCACAGTTAAGTGTTCTGGAATATGCATTCTTCACAATGTTATCACACAGTTGACTGCCTTTGCATAGTCAGTAAAGCACAAGTAAACATCTTTCTAGTATTATTACTTTTAGCCAAGATCCATCTGACATCAACAATGATATCCCTCATTCCATGTCCTCTTCTGAATCTGGCTTAAATTTCTGGCAGTTTCCTGTCAATGTACTGCTGCAATCATTTAAAAATTATCTTCAGCAAAATTTTACTTTCATGTAATATTAATATTAATGATATTGTTTGATGATATTCACATTCCACTGGGTCACCTTTCTTTGGAATGGGCACAAATATGGATCTTTTCCAAGCAGTTAGTCAGGAATCTGTCTTCCAGATTTCTTGATATACATGAGTGGGCACTTCCAGTGATGCATTAGTTTGCTGAAACATTTCAATTTGTATTCTGTCTATTCCTGAAGCCTTGTTTTTCACATATGCCTACAGTGCTCCTTGGACTTCTTCCTTCAATAACATCAGTTCTTGGCCATATGGTACCACTGAAATGATTGAACATTGACCAATTCTTTTTGGTACAGTGACTCTGTGTATTTCTTCCATCTTCTTTTGATGCTTCCAGAGTCACTCAATATTTTGCCTGCAGAATCCTTTAATATTACAACCCGAGGACTAATTTTTTTTTCTTCAGTTCTCTCAGCTTGAGAAATGCTGAGTATGTTCTTCCCTTTTTGTTTTCTATCCATGTATCTACACACAGAACACTGCTGTTCTAAGGGTGTGTATATATCACTACTTACCTCTACCCCCTTTACTGGCTAGTCTTTCTTGCTGATAATAAGTCCTCCTCTCTCCTTTTATCACTTATAAAATAATACTAGAAAGATGTTTATCACCAGGTGCTTTATCACCAGGTCTTTGCATATTGCATTATATTTGACTTTGTAGTCTCAAACTGCCCTTTGAAATTTTCTGATCAACTCTTACTTCATCATTTCTTCCCATCAGTTTAGCTTCTCTATGCTCAAGAGCAAGTTTCAGAGTTTCTTCTGGCATTCACTTTGGTCTTTTTTTTTTTTTTTTCCATGTATCAAATTCTTGATGTCATTCCACGAATCTCCTCGTTTTCAGACATTGGTTTCTAATGGCTCAAAGCTGGTTTTGAGATGGTCTCTAAATTCAGGTGATATATACTCATGGCCATATTTTGGCTTCGGTGGAATTGTTTTCATTTCCTTCAACTTCAACCTGAACTTGCATATGAGCAAATTGATGGTCTCTCCCCCATTCAGCCCCTGGTCATTGAGCTTCTCCATTGTGTCTTCCCTCAGATGTAGTGACTTTGATTCCTGTGTATTCCATCTGGAAAGACCCAGGTGTGTAATCGCCTTTTATGTTCTTTATAAAAAGGTATTTGCAATGAATAAGTCATTGGTCTTGCAAAAGTCCATCATGTGATCTCCATATCATTTCTATTACCAGGCCATATTTTCCAACTACCAATCCTTCCTCTTCATTTCCAACTTCTGCCTCCCAATCACCAGTAATTATTTTGATTGCATGTTGGTTGTTGTTGTTGTTAAGTGCTGTCGCATGGGCTCTAACTCATAGTGACTCTATATAGGATTTCCGAGGCTGTTTAAATCTTCACAAGAGCAGAAAGCCTCAACTTTCTCTCACAGAAGCGGGCTGACGTAAACCACAGCCCTTGTGGCTCACAGTACAGTGCTTATCATATGGAGCCACTGTGGTCCTAGAGAAGTTGGTTGTTGTTGTTAAGTGCCATCAAGTCAGTTCCGACTCATGGCGACACTGTATATTTTCCAAGAAGCAACTGGTAAATTTGAACCACTGACTTTGCAGTTCAAGCCCATCCATCCTGCAGTCCAGCACATTAGCCCACAGCGCCACATAGAATTCCTCAATTTCATCCTCACTGGCTTTAGTGGTTGGTATGTAAATTTGAATAATAGTAGTATTAACTGGACTTCCTTGTAGACTTTGGATATTATTCTATCACAAACAGTATGGTACTTCAAGATAGATCTTGAAATGTTCTTTCTGATGACGAATGTGATGCCGTTCCTCTGCAATTTGTCGTTCCCAGCATAGTGGACCATATGATTGTCTGATTGAAAATGGCTAAGGAGCATTCTGGCTATCGTTCTTTCAACACAGATTTGTTTGTCTGATTCATAGTGAGCCATCCATTTCAACTCACTAATGCCTAGGATTTCGATCTTTATGCGTTCCATTTCATTGTTAACAACTTTCAATTTTTCTAGATTCACATTTCATAAGTTGCCCATTCTGATTATTAATGATTTTTTGCAGCTCTTTATTCTCATTTTAAATTGTGCCCTATCAGTGGCATAGCTTCCAACATCACAGCAACATACAAGCCAACAAAGTATGACAAACTGACAGATGAGTGGTGGATTATAAACCACACCCACATAAAATCTGCATTTTCTATAGGTGATAAAAAGATCTTTCACAAAAAAAGCAAGGATTCACACCTACTGGTATAGTTGCAATGACAGCATCACAAATTTCCTTGTCTTTTTTCACAATGGCCCTTACACAAATTCATTTATCTTGAAATGGCAAGCAACCACAATCTACAGAACATACCAAGCAATTCAGCTTTATTTTCATAACATCATGACTTTTCTCTGCTTCCAGCATTACTAGTGGCACTTCGTATGGGTTTCTCAAAGTGATTCAGGGTTTATGATATTGCACTACATATAACGAAAATCTGCGAGAACCACTAGAGAGCACTTTTTACTGGAGAGACAAATGACTCATGCAGAGATAATAAAGTGTCACACGACGTTTTTTGTTTGTGTTTTTTTTAAGTCCATGTAAAAGTGGATTTACAATAGAGTCACATCACAAGACATGCCTGTTTAGGTTAAAAGAATTAAAATTTATGAGGAGTTTTACTTACTGGGATCCCTAAGTGGTGCAACCAGTTAAAGCAATCACCTACTAACTGAAAGGTTGGTGGTTTGAATCCACCCGGAGGCACCTCAGAAGTCTTGAAGATCTACATCTTCAAAACCGTCCACTGAGAACCCTAAGAAACACAGTTCTATTCTGGCACACATGGAGTTGCCATAAGTCAGAGTCGACTCAGTGGCATCTGGTACTGGGTTTCCACTTAAGATTGATTTTGAAGTGGGGCAGGGTACCATCAGCTGAGTGCCCAAGAGGAAGAACCACCAGGTGGTCCTTTACAAAGGTCCCCTGAGAAGCCTTGTGGTGTGCTGGTTTAGAGCGGTGGCAATCAGGTAGGAGGGTCACTATACCAGGTGACCCCTACGGATGCCTGTGGGTTGGTCGAAAGTGCTGTCATTCAACTTGTTCCCACTGACTTCTTTTTAATTGACTTTCCCCCTTTCAGTGGGTGGGGGGAGTACACTAAAGACTTAATTACCTTAATAGTGCATTTTGTTTGTGAGTTTTGTCTTTAGATGTGTAATCGCTACAAAAAAGCTCATTCAAATAGTCACCAAGTGATCTCCAGTCTGCTTTCAGACCCAGGGTCCAGCAAGGTCACCCTGCAGAAACTCCACGCCTACCAGCAGGCCAGCCTCATGCAAAGCCATGCTTGGTTTGGGTCATTAATCCTACAGTTCGTGATTTTTATCTGCTCTTTGCATTTTTACTTCTAACATGCTTAGAGAAAGACAGACTATAATTTTTTTAATTAAAAAATATATGTTTAAAAAATAAATATACATGTATTTTTTTACTGAAAGCAGTGTTACCATCCCAGTCCATTTCTTATTGCTTAGACTATTCATTCCCTGCCATTTGCTCTGAAGTTTTGAAGTCTTCAAAAACACGATTATGTGTTTATGTGAAAATGAAAGATTCTCACCACTAACGCTACTGATACAGCAAACTGTAGTTGTCAACCAAAGAGTAATCAGGATCACCTGTAAGGGACAGAACACAGAGCTACATTAGTAAGTTTCATGATAAAATCCTAGCCCCTTTCAAATCAAGGTACTCCACTTAAGGATCTGGTGACTGCCTTTTTGTTTTCGTTTAAAGAAAATCTATCGTGCAATAAAACTTACAAATGCTACTGTTGGTTTCTCCCAATCTGGAGCAAAGAAGAGTAATGTACCACAGAAACCTCAGTCTCCAGCAGCCTGAGACCAGCAGAACTAGATGGTACCCAATTACCACTGCTGACTGCACTGAAAGGGATCACAATAGCAAAGTGTGAGAAAAATGTGGGACGAAACTCAGAATCTTTAAAAACGGCCAGGCTTACTGGTCTGATAGAGACTGGCAGAAAACCCCAGAGATGATGGTCCTGAGTCACTCTTCAGGCCCGGAACTGAACTCACCTTCATGGCTCCATTTTCAGTCAAATACTAGAGAGGTCTATATGGTGACTAATAGCATTAAGGAGGGTACATCCTGCTCAGGAGAAGCAACTATTTGAGATCAGAAGGCAGCATTTGCCCAAGGACAAAAACAGAAGGCAGGAAAGGGTAGGAAAGGAGACCCAGGGAGAAAGTGAGGATTACATTCATGACATGAAACAGAATGTATATGAATTGGTAATTGGAAAACTGATTTGCTCCATGAATCTTCACTCAATTCACAATAAAAGTTTTTAAAAAAATTAAACATACAAATGCTAGTCATGACTTTGTAGCCAATAGTAATTGCCAGGGAATTCTGACAATGACTCTTTGATTCAGCTACCCTTTTCAACCACATCTGGAGAGCAACACCACAGTAAAGCCATCTTCAAAACAAGGACAATAAAGTACCATGTTCTCAAATGGTAAGTATAAGGCAACAAGAAATGACAATAACTTAAATCCCCAGATTGTTCACAGATTTCATTTCAGTCATGAATTTAAAAAAAATTTTTTTATTGTGTTTAAATATGTGTAGTCCTGGTGTGATGCTATGGGTTTATGTGCTGGACTGCAAGGTCAGTTTTGAACCACAGGGTCAGTGGTTCAAGCTCACCAGCCGCTCCTTGGAAAACCTATACAGGGTCAATATAAGTCAGAACCGACTCAATGGCACTTATAAACAACAACAAATATGTGTAGCAAAACATTTACATTTTAAGCCATTTTTAAGTGTATGAGTTGGTGACATTCACCAAGCTGTGTAACCATCACCACTTACCTATTTCTAAAATACTTTTATCACCCCAACAAGAAACTCAGTACCCTGTAAGCAATAACTCTCCACCACCACACCCAGCCTTCCACCAGCCCTGGTAACTTCCAAAAAACCTCTAATAAAAATGCATGTCTCTATACATTTGCCTACTCTAGCTATTTCCTATTAGGTGAATCATATATTATGTGAATTTTTTGTCTGCTTAGTATTTTCAAGGTTCATCAGTGTCATCGCGTGTATCAAAATTCATTTCTCTTTACAGATGTGCCACACATTGTTTTCCATTCATCTGTTGCTGAGCTCTTGGACTGTCCTCATTTCATGGCTAGTGCATGTTGGTATACAGGTGTCTATTTGAGCCAGGGGGACTGGTAGGATCACTAAGTGGAGCCATGAGGTGTAGTGGTTGTATGCTGTAGAGTCAACCTGTAGAGGGTTTCCAAGGCTGTACATCTTTACAGGTGCAGAAAGTCTCATCTTTCTCCTGTGGAGCAGCCAATAGATTTGAACAGCCAACCTTGTGGTTATCAGCCCAACTTGTAACCCACTATGATACCAGGTTTGAGCCATTTTAGTCACTAAATTTTTACTAACTACTAAATGCAGCCACATGAGTTGTCTCCTTCCCTCTACCCCAAATGTAAATAGGTTTATCTTTCTTTTAATCAAATAGTAAATACTCGTTGAGGACCAAATACCCTGCTCAATGTTATCAGTGCCACAGGAGAAGACTAAGGCTTTAACCTCAAGCATCTACACCCAGGAAACACAATTAATGAAACAAGCTAAAATGTGTAGCTCTCCCAGCGGTGCTGTCAGAATTCAGAGAAAACCAGAGACGAACACAACCACTGGCAGGTCTAGTTATGACAGTGTAAAAACCTGTAATATTGCATTTAGTTTGTATCCATCTCTTACTCAATACCAACAAGTCAGTTCCGAATCAAAGCAATCCTATATGCCAGTGGAGAACTGTCCCAGCGGGTTTCCAAGGCTGCAATCTTTATGGTAACAGATTGCCACATCTATTTCCCAGGGAGCAGCTGGTGGGTTCAAACCGCAGACCTTTCATTAAGAACTGAGCTCTTAACTGATGTACCATCAGAGCTCCTACATATATCTGTTTGTTGTTGTTAAGTGCTGTTTCTGACTCATTAGTGACCTTGAGGTTCAAACTGACCATGAGGTCGAGAGCTTATCCTATGGTGCCACACCAAGACTCCACATGCATCTATACAACCTACAAATTATGTGTAATTCAAAGGAAATTATATCATTGTTCTACAGTTCTCATGGTTCAAGTTGAAATAATCTCTTCAGTAAGACTGCCTTATAATATGTTTTTTTAGTATTTCAGTAACTGAATTCCCTTGGATAAACCATAAAATAGATTACCAATCACCAAATTCCATTTGGTGACAAATAGTGTTAGAGCAACATTCTAATACAGACTCATTCTTGTGGGAATCTGATTCTATGTGTTACTTCTTTTATTTCAGAATTCTGCCCATCCAACCTTAGAGAAAATCTGAAATAAGCATTTCAAAAGGAGTTTCTTGATCACGTACCTGGGACACTTCTTGGAAGTGGGAGAGGTCCTCTCCTATAAGAAATGAAAACCAATGTTTTTTAGGTGTGTGGGTTTTTTTTTTTTTTTTTTTCAGATAAATTGTTGTTATTTCTATAATTTTCAAATCTTGTTTCTGCACTGGAGGGTCAATGAAAGCTCACACAAAGCAAGCAATTTGTAGCACTGACCTACTGAAATCTAAACATTTTGGACATAGTATTATGCTAAAAGGTAGGGTCGCTCAGTGGCTAGAAGTCAGCCAGGCAAGGTTAAAATATTAGCTCTGACCACCTTCTGCATAAGTATCTTCATATGTAAAATGGGAAAGACCAAGAACTCTTTCATCACTGTGAGCGTTTAAGGGAGCTAATTTGAACAGTTCCTGCATTCTTAAAGAGTGATGATGATCAAGCAAACCTCTGTCCCATCATCCCATCTTCACTAAATTGACTGAGAATGTAACAGCTAAGACTTTAAACTGGCTTAGTGTGAAACAGAACTTTCTCATCTCTCAGGCAACTTTAGACCCGAGAATACAGCAAACTTTCTTGTAAAGGGCCAGCTAGTAAATGCTTGAGGCTTGGCTGATCACATAGTCTCTGTCATAGCTCCTCAACTATATGTAGCACAAAAGCAATCACAGGCAAACATACATGAATGAATGTGGTCATGTTCCAATAAAACTTTATACATGAATGCTGAACTTAAAATACAAATATAAATAAAATGTAATTTTCATGTGTCATGAAATAGTATCCTTTTGATTTTTTTCAACCACCTAAAAATATGAAAATTATTCTTAGCTTTCAAGTCCTACAAAAAGAGGGTGGTCAGATATGGCCCATGAGAGACCACAGTTATGGACTAACTATGGGCATAGGATTCATAAGTGAGTATTACTATCATGAGCTAGTCCTCCTTGAACTATGGTTAGCATTTGTCCTAAAAATGGTATTTCCAAAAATCTAGCACCTCTACTTAAGCAAATGCAGTGGCTATAAGTCACTTTGTATAGTGTTTTCAAGGTTGTACATCTTTGTGGGAGCAGAAAATCTCATCTTTCTCCATTGGAGTGGCTGGTGGACTCGAACCACCAACCTTGTGGCTCACAGTCCAGTGCTGCTTATCCTATGGAGCCTCCATGCTTCCCAAGCAAATGCAGTGGTAGCTTTGTTCCAATTAAACATGTCTTAAAACATCAGTAATTAAGTTTTTTTCAAAATATTGTCACTGAATTGGTGTATGTTTGACTGTGTGAGTGTTCAGCAGCAGCAAAAAAATAAAAGTATTTTTCATCATGTGAAAGGCAGCTGGTTCCTACCTTGCTATGTTAGGTCCTGTAGCCTTTCCTGGCAGGGTCACATTCTTCTGGGGGCAGTAAAAGTTCTCATATACGATTGGTGCTAGGAGAGCCATCAGAAACAACACATTAAAAGGTGAGTGTCTTCTATCCCCAATGATGTGGCAAGAAAGGCTAAACCAATGACGTACACCATCCCCTCATCCCAGCCGCCCTGTTCACCTGGTGGATTCTGCCCAGTTTTTCGTTGATTCACAAAGTACTCAATGTCTTTTTCTATGCTGCACATTTCTAGGCTCTTGCGGACTTCTTCATACATCTAATGAGGAGATAAAATCATAGGCAGAGCTATGCATGCTGAGGCTGATATAGCTCATTAAAAGAGGAGGTTTGGAAGCATGGCTGGCTCTTTTCTGGATTTAGTTTTGAAAGTAAAACCAAGATATTTACAAGTCCTGTACTCAAAGGGATTCTCTGTGCAGATCTGTTGTCACATTTTTAAAAAGAATAAATAGAAGACAGGGATTGTATCTTTGTGGCAGCATGAAAAAAATTGAAAGATTGTTTTAAAAATAAACTGATGGCCCTACTGAACAGTTTTCATCTTGTCTAGACGGGTCTAGTGAAAAGAGATGGGGTTAAGAGTCTTACGATTCAATAGTGAGTAATTGTTATCATGACTAATTGCAACTGTCAAAACTGTAAACGTAGAAGTTTTGTAACATAAAAGGAGGAGTAGTGAATCTTACATTCCAGGAATAGAGAGGGCCCTAGGACCATCAAGGGAGAAGAGCACAAGCAGAATGTGGGGCCCTATCCAGAGAAACAGCATTACCAGAGATGGAGGCAGAAATAAAGACATGGAAAGAGGGAGCAGATGAAGACTCTAGACTCATGGGAAGAGAAAGACTGTGTGCTAGCAGCCAGGAGGCAGGCTTGCAGAATGTGTCCTTCAGTTCTTTAAATGATTATATATTCCTGCGTGCTTTTGTGCACATCAAAACAAAACAAAACAAAAACAGAGGGAATAGAAGCAAATACCATTGAATGATAATGCACAGAGGGATAGTAATCATTGCAATGAAACAAAATACGAGAGGATGAGTGCAAAACCAATGTTCTCCCATGTAAACTATCACTCAATTCACAATAAGAGCATTTCAAAATATACATGTGTATATATACTGATGGGACAAAAAAAAGATGCCAGGTCCCATGACACAAGAGCAATGCCACACACAAATGTAAAAACAATTAACTTGAGGAAAGTCCTTCCATTCAATCCCACCTGCGTTCTAAGTGGTTCATTGTCTTCTAAACAGAGTCTCCCATCTGAATGGGAGTGGCTATTTCTTAGCAAAGAAGGTTACAATGGCTTGATTCTGGTTCCTCCGATACAGAGCAAAACGACCGTGACTGTGCACAGGTTAGACCTGGGTTATGGCCTCGAATCCCGGACCCAGGAGGGACCATGAGCCTGGGTCACTGTGCTCAGTGTTGAGTAAGATGGCTCCACAGGTGTGTGGTGCTGTCCTGGACTGAGCAGACTGGAACAGCTTCCAGGATTTACATTTATGTAAATTTATATTCCTATAAGCCATGACATCACTGTCTTCCATAAATGAAACTACATTTGGGCTTCCCTTCTCTGTTTTCCTGTGCTAACTCTGTTCTCCTAAAGAAGATGCCGTGGTAGTAAAGTGAACCAGCAATCAGTCAGGCTAGGTTTTTATCTGGAGCCCTGGTGTTGCGCTGCGGGTTAATGTGCTGGACTACAAGGTTGGTTTAAACTGCAAGGTCAGCGGTTCAAGCTCATCAGCTGCTCCTTGGAATACCTATACAGGGTCGTTATGAGTGGGAAACAACTGGACAGCACTTAACAACAATAACAACAACAAGGATTTTATCTAGGTCTGCTTATCAATTTACTGTGTGGCCTTGTACAAGTTACTTTACCCTCTGGGCCTCCACTGTTGTGATGTTATGTGCCTTTCAGTCGATTCTGACTCAGAGCAACCCTGTATAGTGTTTCTGAGGCTGTGGATCTTTATGGAAGCAGAAAACCTCATCCTTCTTCCATGGAGTGGTTGGTGGATTCAAACTGCTGGCCTTGTGCCTAGCAGCCCAACATTATCACCACTACAACCCAGCACTCCAGGACCTCCAATGAGAGAGGTTGGACAAACAAATGTCTATGCCTCCTTCCACTCTGATGAATTCAATATGCAGAGCCACAACCCTCAGGACACCTCTGACTTACGTCATCGCTTGAGACACATTGTTGTGACAGTTGATTCACATGCAACCACAGCGCGTTCCGGAAGAAGTTTATCCGTTCACACTCTTGAGCCTCAAATACCTGCAGAAACATGACTACATGTAAACATGCACACTAGAAAACAAACCCTTTATTTATACTGGCTGGGGTTTATAAAATAGTATCAACTCACAATTGTCTGTCAGTTATTGGCCAATGTAAGGTACTATTCCCAGCACCTGGTGTCCCTCATGGTACAAATGGATAAGGGGTTCACTTATTAAGTGAAATGTTGGATGCTTGAGTCCACCCAGAAGCACTTCAGAAGAATTCTGGTGACCAACTTTCAAAATATCAGTCATTCTCCTCTGATACACATGAGGTCACCATAAGTCAAAGTTGACTCAGAGGCAAATGGCTGGAACTCTTACCACAGAGAATATAAATGTAGTCTAATATTGTATTGAAGTCCCAGTGTGGCTCCGTAGTATAAGAACTTGACCACAAGGTCAGTTTGAACCACAAGGTCAGCAGTTCAAATACACCAGCTGCTCCTCAGAAACCCTATACAGACTGGGTCACTATGAGTCGGAACCAACTGGATGGCACTTAACAATACTGTAGTAACACCAATAGAATTGGATGCAGTGCTGAAAGTAGTTCTAAATGCTCTAATAAGAGTCCCAGATCACATTTCCAACTCCTCTTCAAGGACCCCTGGTAGTGCAATGATTAAGCACTCAGCTGTTAATTAAAATGCTGGTGGGTCATACCCACTTAGTGGTTTGAGGGAGAAAGATGTGGCAGTGTGTTTTTGTGAAGATTGTTGTTGGGGTGGTTCTATGGTGTCCTGTAGGGTCACTAGGAGTGAGAATCAACTCAGTCAACAATGGGTTTCGTTTTCCTTTTTGCAGTGAGCCTCTCCACAGGGCAGCCTGCCGGAGTCTCAGGTTCAAACCCTGTCCAACCACCCCAAGAATCTGTATTTAATACCATAGCTATTATATTTTTAAACTTTTTGTAAATGTGTACAAGAAAAGAGAATATTGTCATGAATTCCATGTTTTAATATTTACCAACTCTCAGGCAATCTTGTTAACTTCCCTACCAACTCTCACCCCTGTATTATTTAGAGGCAAATACATTCTTTCCCATGTAAATATCTTAGTATTTACATAATAAAATATTGCAGGGTCATAGAGACTACTGTAATAAATCCCCACATACCAACCACCTCACATTGTCAACAATTTTGTCCATATTTGCTTCAGATTCTGTTAAAGGCCCAGTGTGCCTTCCCAAATCTGTCACCTCTTCCTTCCCCAGACACCAACACTCCTGAGTTTTATCATTCACACACAGGGTTTTACGCTACGTATGTGTCCATAGATGTATATGACATTGCTCTACACGGTTTTAAGCAATATGAAAATGTGCATCTTCCAGGCGTTTCCTAACAGATCATTAGACCTCACCCCCTGAGTTTCTGACTCAGCAGATCTGGGCAGGGCCTGATAATTTGCATTTCTAATGAGTTCCCAGGTGATACTGATCTTGGGACCGGACTCTGAAAACTACTGGGGTGAAGGTAAGAAAGGGTAGGGACACAATGACAGAAACCACAGAGCATGTCTAGGTTATCTAGTCATTTCTTTAGGAAACTGCAAGTAAAGTAAGTCATGCGCTGAAAATGAAGCGGGCGGTGATGCAGGTAAAGGTGTGAGGAGAGTTTAAGCCTCAAAAGCCTGCTACCTGCAGGCTTCTGAGTACATAACAAGCACAGGTGAGGCATTAAAAACTTAATTAATCCATCATTAATTTCTCTGGTTCATTCCTGCACTGATGGGGGGAGAGGTGGAGAGAATAGAAAGATGAGATTTGGGAAAGTAATCTAGTTCTTTCTATCCTTCACTTAAATTCTTGATGTCTAGTTTGTCCTCAGGCTCATTAACACTAAGAACTGGGGCATGACACTAAGCAGACAGGGCATTTTTACAAAACGGGAATCTCCCTGCTGTAGGAAGAAGACCTGCCCCCTCTTGAGTAGCTTCTAGTTCTGGGTACCTCACAGGCCTTGATGTGCTCACTCTGCCACTCTTCTCGGACCCTCTCCAGCGTGTTGACGTGCAGCATGTAGGCTTTATCTGCAATGAAATGGAAGTGTCTGAGTTCAAAACCTAGATAGGAGGGCAGATCCCTAACCCAACTCACAGCCTCTTCCCATGTGAGAAAGACATTCCCAAGAGTTGAGGGGAGCTCACAAACTCCCAAGGGGTTCTCAATATTGGGAAGATGTAAAGACATATGTAAAGATATACTCTCTCACCCTCATAAAATCCTTGTGAAATAAGGGTAGATAAGTAACTCTCTTTAAATGCTAAGTCACACAATTAGCAAGAAACCCTGGCACTCCAAAAAAGGAAAAGTAAAAACCAACTAGGAACTTCAGCCAGATCTCTTTGTCTAACTCTGCATCAATGTGTCCAAGTGGTTTGTGTTTCCAGGGAAATGATCAGATGAGGATGCAGAAAAGAGATCTCCAGTTCCTTTAGTCTGTGGTTTAGAGACTAAGCGGTCACGGTCACAACAGGCTTATTCCCTACAAGATAGGCTCAGAATAAGAACTCATTCCAAACATTGGGTTTGAAGCTTAGATCTTAGTGACAATAAGGCTTTAAAACTTAACTATTTACTTCAAAGCAGATAAGAGGGTGTTGTTGTTGTTGTTAAGTGCCTTTGAGTCGATTCCGACCCATAGCGACCCTGTATAGGGTTTCCAAGGATTAGCTGGTAAGCTTGAACCACCAACCTTGCAGTTCAAATGGCTTTGCAGTCTGGTGCATTAACCCATAGCACCACACCAGGACTCCAGATAAGAGGTACAAGGGCTGAAATGACCTTTTAATGTTTTACATGTTTTTGCTGTTGTTAAGTGCCATTGAATCAGTTCCAACTCATAGTGACCCCAAATAGGATTTCTGAGAAGCAGCTGATAAGTTTGAACCACCGACCTTGCAGTTCAAATGACTTTGCATTTCAGTACTTATCCTACAGAGCCACATAAATCAGAGTATCAGAGTGGCTGCTATCTTTCACCATAGATATTCAATCTGTGTACTGATTGGAAGAAGATTAATTAACCACCTTCAATATGCAGATGACATAACCTTGCTTGCTGAAAGCAAAGAAGACTTGAAACACTTACTGATGAAGATCAAAGATTACAGCCTTCAGTATGGAGTCCACCTCAACATACAGAAAACAATCTTTACAACTAGAGCAATAAGTAGCAGCATGGTAAATGGAGAAAATATTGAAGTTGTCAAAAATATCATTTTAGGAATACCTCAAAGGGGTTCTACAACTTGCCCAGTGAAATAGGCCTCA